CAGTGCCACCAACTCATGCCCTTGTTACAGGTAGATACTGCTAATTGACTGGAGCTAGTCATGAAACTGAAGCAGTGGCTTCAGGTAGTGCAGTTAAAGTAGGCAAGGTTGACTACAGAGCAAATAGGTCTTATTTTCCAGGTCTTAGTTACGTTCCAATATAGTTTTCAGGCCTTTGGTCCCATTTTTAATCCTTCAGTGCTATGAGAGTAAGCTACAAAAAAAATTAGTCCATAGACTTTCTTGACACCTGTGACTTATGGGGGGATGTAAAAATTAAAATAGAGAGTGAACGACAGAAGCTGGATACAGCCATTCTTGGTACAGTCAGGGACATTTCTTAAAGGCATCACACATATACAGAGTCTAGTTTAATTATCTCAGGAAATGAGCTTTACTTGTCTAGAGGGTCAAGGACATGATTCAGCTGGTCGTCAATTTTAGCAAATTGGATGCCAGCCTAAATTAAATCATTAAATGTTTGTTTTCGGGAAACCCTTAGGGATCTTGATTGAGGAGCTCAAGTAGCCAGCCTCTTGGTTTTAATCACCAACAGGACCTCAGCTTCTTCTAATGTCAGAATGTTGTGCCTAGTCTGTAGGCATTCTGTTTCTCATAAGTCAGCCACCAAGTGGGCAGCTTGCTGGACTACCGCATCTAAGGCTACCAGGGAATTTAATATAGAGACCAGAGTGCCATATAAATGGGAGGGGGGGTTGCTGTAGAATCAAGTCTCTCATCCTCTCTGAGAATTTGACCATATCAGGGCCATCAAAAGCATCTTCATAAATTGCTTCCCTTATGCCCCATTTGTGCATATAATTTTGAAGGTCTTCTATGTAGGACCACATCCCTATATATAGAGGTATATCAGATTTATTTGGCCATACCGTACGGCAGGCTGCCATTAACCATTTTATTATAGAATGGTTTTCATTAAGATATTGAACACCTGCATATAACCTCTGCCTGAGGGTAGGATGGACAGTCATGGTGGCCCACTTGGATATTTCCGGGCCGTTCACCATAACACTTTCTGCTCCAGAATCCCACAGTTTTAATAACCAAGGTGGCATGCTTTCTCTAGGCTTCTGCCGAAATCGCTGTACTAAATCCATCAATTCTGTTGCTGTGTATGGCTGGGCTGTTACATGCAAATGAGTCTGGGCAGGAGGCCACTGATCAGGCAGCACCCCTGCCAGTCTATCCTGTACTTTCCTTGTTTTCTGAGTTATAACAGGACCGACCTCTAGCAGATATGTCACAATCAGAGCTTTGAGATCTATCAGAATTTTTGTTTTCCTGATCAGCGAAGTCCGCTGATTCAGGAGTCTGTTCAGTGTCTATTGAGATATTGAAAACTTGACCTATCGGAAGATGCAGAATTGGTTTCTTCCCTGTTAATATGCCAAGTTCTTGCTGTAATTTTTCGATATGGTCTCTCAAAAGTTGGTTTTCGTTTTCTGCTGTATAATTCCTCATTTCAGCATGATTTAAAGCACTTAATAGTGGCCATGCCACTGCAGAGGCAGCTGATTGTTATTCTTTGGTAAGCCTCTCAACGTAGTCTGCGATGTGATATGGGGCAACATTTCCCATAATGTGTAGAGGATCCCATTTCTCAATGATTCACTAATTCATAATAGGGAGATCCCACAGATCTTGGAATCTGCTCCAGAATTATTTTATCTAGTGGGGTGATGTTCTCCCCCCTGACTCATTCATAGAAATTCCCTAGAAAGGACATTATGTAAATTTTAGTATATTTGGCCTGCTGGCTCACCAAGTGTATAATCAATGAATATACAGATGTTATAATTAAGAAACATACAGGAAAGTTGGGCTGAACAGGTTATTATGCCAAAGCAGAATAGATGGAAAGCTTACTCTCGTTCTGGGCTCACTGAGAAGTCTCCAAGAGGAACAATCTCCAAAAGAGATCTTTCTCCATTTGTAGTGAGCTCTTAAATGGGGTATAGGAGAGGTGGAGCCAGGCTCCACCCCTTCCAGTAGCACAGGTGAATTACCTTCACCTGTTCTCCCAGGGCTGACTCATTGTTCGTCTCAGGTGGTTAATCAGAGGCTCAGGCTGTGATTTAGCAGTTCCCATACAGAGTGAAAGCACTTGTGATGTGCAGAAACATTTTTTGTTGTTGTTTTTTTCCAGCATAATGCGTAATTGCATAATTGTCTGTTGTGAATCTCTGACCTGATAGCTCTACCTCCAGAGTCAGCCTCAGAGTTTTCTGAAGCTTTGGTTCAGTAAGAGTAGTTTCAGAGGAAAACCAACTCAGCTAGTTAGTCTAGATTACTGTGTTATAGATTGAATTGCTATCTGTGTTGATCTGATTCTGTTTCAAGGGTACAGCAGTACCTGGTCATAGTGAGCACAAAGTTTCAAAACTGCTTGGTGGATTGCATTGGAAATACGTGAATTTTATTGTGAAGACAAGTAGTCTGTTAGTCAGTACAGCTTTTTTTAAACACACTGAAGAAACAGAATTGTGAGAAGAATTTTCTGGATGTATCACATTTTAAATGGAATTTTTTTCACTTGGTAGTCCAGAAAAAAATTCAGCTTCTCCATATCATAAAGCATCGTGCAATTGAAAAAGACTTTCATTAGTATGAAGACATGAAGACATTCATTAGTATGAAAATGGCATGTTAAGAAACAAAATGTGAGGTAATACCGAAAAGTTCTGAATTAGTTGATTTTTCTTGGGTTTGATTTTGATTTCAGTTGCTTACATGATCTTATTCTTCATTTTCCATTTAAAACCTCATCCTGTTGTCCATTTTTATGTCAACCAGTTTTTGTTGCTGTTGTAATCTCCAAGTATTAAAACGACTGTTTACGAGGGTGGATAGTGATAGAACAAGGGGGACTGGAATGGTTTTAAACTGAGACAGGGGAGGTTTAGATTAAATATTAGGAGGAAGTTTTTCACTCAGAGGGTGGTGATGCACTGGAACAGGTTGCCCAAGGAGGCTGTGGATGCCCCATCCCTGAAGGCATTCAAGGCCAGGCTGGACGTGGCTCTGGGCAGCCTGGTCTGGTGGTTGGTGACCCTGTATATAGCAAAGGGGTTGAAACTACATGATCACAGTGGGCCTTTTCAACCCAGACAGACCATTCTGTGATTTTATGACTTGGGTTTGCTCTTCTTAGCCTTCTTAAACATCTTCGCTGCAGGTATATCAATAAAGAGGTTTCCTCAGATAGCACTGAATAGGAAGTACGATGAAGCTTTTAAGGGAGTCTTTCTCTTCAAGAACTGGAGCATGAGGGTTTCCTCTTGAACACTAGGAAGCCCTTCAGTGCTGTGTGGGTGATGGAGCACTGGCACAGGCTGCCCAGAGATACTGTGGGGTCTCCACCTTTGGAGTTCTTCGAAAGCCACTTGAATGTGGTGCAGAGCAACCTGCTCTTCCTGTCCCTACTGGAACAGGGGAGTTGGACCAGATGGCCTCCTTAACCATCTGTGCTTCTACACAAAGCTTACCTTAATAAATAGGGAATATCTGTTTAAAAAACTCAAGCACTTGTGTTTTAGGTTATGGTTGTCCAAGTTTAATAGATATTATAGTTGCTCTTTCCTTCCTTATTAAGTAGCAGTGTTAGGTAACAGATCCAAAATCACTTTTTTTGTATTTCAATGTCTGCATGTAGTATAGAAAAGATAACAAAAGGTTTTGACTTAAACTCCTTTCAGAGGTTCTGAGGAAGCAACAGAGAATTACCTGAAGAGCTGTGATTATTACTCTATTTCAAAGTATGTTACTCCGTCGTAATTTCAAAGTATTCCTGATTTCAAGAAATGTAAAAGGGCATCTTAGAAGGTTCACCTACAGAAAGGTGTGTTTTTGTCTCTGTTCATAAGACCGTCTGTCACGGGGTTATCCCTATATGTAAGTCCGTGACAGGGGGGCACAGGCCCCGGGAAAAAGTAAAGAAAAAGAAACAAAAACAAAACAAAACAAAACAAAACAAAAAAAAAAAAACAAAAAAAAAAAACAACCATAAAGGAGCGAAGGATAAAAAAAAAAAAAAGGACGGGGTACTAACGGCTTGCCGAGCCACCTAGCTGGCCCCGGGCCGCGCGCTGGGAGAGGGGGAAGGGTAGAAAGCTAGCAGGTAGTTTTAACGGAGAAAACACAACAGCAGCGATCTGACCGTTCCGACAACAAACGGTAATTTACTAAATTTAACCGAATCAAACAAAATGAGAGAGACAAGAGTACCCAAAGTACGAGACAAACCACAATAGTGCGAGGGAATCACGTGCTCTTCTTCGCAGCAAGCTGAGACGGCTGAGCCTGGGCCAGAGGGAGAGGCAGACTCTGGAGTCCTCCGGAGCTCCACCCCCCTTCCTCTTCCCGCCAGCTCCTCCCCTCCCACCTGGATACTCAAAATGCCAATAAAAGGCAGTTAACGGAATCAGAACATTAACTCTTTAACTCCCACTGTCCACATGGTGTTCTGATGTGGAATACTGACAAAAAAAAAAAAAGCAACACAAAACCACAACACCATCAGAGACCCCAGTTTTGAATTACTGGAGCCCAACACCTGCAATATAAGCAGCTGGCGTCAGATATTCTGAAGTACTCGTGGTATGGAGTAACGTCACGAGTTTCTTCATATATGCTCTGACCTATGATTTCCAGTTAAGGTGAATATTCAGTACTTAATGGGTGACCAAAAAAAAAACAAACAAAAAAACCTCACCCTTTCAGAATGGGTTTAATGTCTTAGTAAATAGTGCTTGCTTCTTTCATTTCATAAAACTATTTAAGCTTTATATATGACATGTAAAACATGGGAATTTTGTGTGTTAGCACTGTTCAGCCTGATGTAGCACAATTTAATTTATTTATTTATTATTTTAAGATTTTGGAAAGTGTATGGTGTTGTATTTCACATTGCAAATGCTTAATTATGCTTCTTATGTATGTTTGACTGCTCGCTTAGTATTACTCGGTATCTTCTTTTCCAGTTTCTCAAGCAGTTGGGTATACATCCGGACTGGCAATTTGTAGATGTCTATGGTATGGAACCGGAACTGCTTAGCATGGTGCCAAGACCTGTATGTGCAGTGCTTCTCCTCTTTCCAATAACAGAAAAGGTAAATGTTTATTTAGTAATGAGCTGATCACTTTTGTTGTAAGTGAAATGGGAATGATCTGTTGGACAAGAGTTTGAGCAACCTGATTTAGTGGAGGATAGCCCTGGCCATGGGAGAGAGGTTGGAACTAGAAGATTTTTAAGGTTCCTTCCAACTCAAACTGTTATGCGAACCTTGTGCCTTGGTGTTAGAATCAAAATGAGAGTTAAATTTTATTCAGAGACCTCTTGATTAGAAACAAACAACAGAATGCTTATTTCATAACTTTCTTTACACACCTTATGTGTATATTTCCAGTTTATCTTCAAGTGTTTTAATTGGACTGGGGAGAAGAGAAACATCAAGTAGTTTTCTCTTGTGGACAATTCAAAAATTTAAACTGCACTCTGAAATGGCACAGTTCTGCTACTTTTAGCAGAAGGCCTCAATAGCAGGAGCACAGTGGAGTGTGGAACATTATCAATTGCAAGTATTTCTTGAGTTTTTGTTTTGCTCCACTGATGAAACTTCAATCATCTTCAATTCAGTCATCAGCACCAATATAGCTTTTATTTCTTGGACAGTTGGTTTATGGTGGAAGAGTATATATATATTTTTACTGCTTACTCCTACCCATTCTTTTCCCCTCAGTATGTATCAGTTTGCTTTTACGGCTGGATACCCTTGTTAGTATACAGATAATCTTAGGGTTATTGTCTAGTTTAAAGATTAATGACTTGCTTAGTCTGCATTGTAGGTTGTAGAGAGTGGAACAGTGTGAGTCTTGGACATTTTGAGCCTGTTCCAGTGAATCTGTATCAAGGGATGGCCCATATTGGAAGCAAACTCTTGAGGTGATCTGGGTCAATCCTTGCTCAAAGTTGTATTTTTAGTATCCTCAGCAATGATTTTTTTTTGACAGGGAATGATTGGAAGTTGTATTGCTTCTCTAATCTGATCTGTATAATACATTTCATGACATTTTTTCCTTAATTAAGACTTTCCTTATTAATTTGTTGATAAGTGGTTTCAATTTAAAATGCTTTCTGAATGCACTTGCTATTATTTAGAATGTTCGGAACATTGAGATAAGCTACAGAGTACAATCCTTATGCTGGAAAAATTTGTCTGTTATTGACTGAGAAAATTTTCATACATTCCTCATTCTGTTCAACATTCAAACTCTAATTCATCATAATTACATAAAAAGTCCACCTAATTCAGTATTTTGTGCCTGAAGATGACCTAAGCTAGGCAAAAGGAGGAAATAGCAGCATCTTCTATAACATTTACATTGGTTTTGTTGTCTTTTTTACCATCCTTTTCTATTTGAAGTGTCATCTTGTGCAATGGGCTTTTTTCCCTCCCAACATAAGAGATTTTCTTTGCTAGTTCTTAATCAATGATAAGCTTTACAGTAGTATTTGAGATTGTTGAATCAAACTAAATTGTTTTTATTACTACAGAAAAATAAACGTTTACCTTATGATTATGGCTTTTAAAGAGCCATTTTGAAGCTGTGAGCATTATATGAATCTTAATATCCCTGGATAAAAGTGTAGTATAAAAAAATAGAACTTGTAAGAATGCTTCATACTGGTTAAACATGTGAAGTATTACAGTTCGCCTGATAATGCTTTTGAGACCTCTATCCTTAAAAACTTGTTGATATAAAGAGAGATGATGACTGGTGCTCAGATCAAGGAAATATTTTGAACGTTTTTGAAATACCATTAGATAATACATATTTCAAAGTGATCATTTAAGTGTGACTTTTTTTTTCTGATATAGATGTGATGCTGAGTTTTTCAGTTGAGCAAGTCTACGTAAGCTGGTTCTGTTAAGAGTTGCAAAACGGGTTTTGGTTTTATGAGGCAGCTGTTACTTATGCAAATTATTTTTGCATTTTGGATAACATATCCAGTATCTATATTGTTTGTGAAAATTCTGAAACTTTAATTGTAGTATGAAACCTTCAGAACAGAAGAAGAAGAGAGGATAAAAGCTAAGGGGCAAGATGTCAAATCATCAGTGTATTTCATGAAGCAAACTATCAACAATGCTTGTGGGACAATTGGGCTAATTCATGCTATTGCCAACAACAGAGAGAAAATGAACTTTGGTAAGTGTTATTTGGTTGCTTGGTTGTTTTTGTTGTATTGCTGTTTTTTTCCTTACTACTGGGGAAGATATGGAGGGACTGACAGGTTGTATACTATTTTCTCTGTGCATCTCTGCTGAAAGAGTGCTTCTGCCTATAATTATAAAACCAGTATTTCACACTAATTCAAGTCTAGAGCACTCAAAACACTTCAATCTGCAGCAGGTAGCAATTCCTCTTGTAGTAGGCGTTCATGTTGTAAGTGTAATTATATCTTTAAATCTTTTATTGGATTCAAGCAATCTGTAAGATTTGAATGATGTAGGAGCTAAAGCACGATACAAAATATGTTAATGTATGTCTTTTTTTATATTTAAGAAACCAATTCATCATTGAAAAAGTTCCTAGAAGATTCTTTATCTATGACTCCTGAAGAGAGGGCCAAATATCTAGAAACTTACGAAGTTGGTATTTTTTTTTTTCTTCTTTTCAAACAATTTAAGAATTTGCATGACCAAGTACTGTCTTTGGGGCATGATCTAGTAAATTACTTAAGCGATAAGAGTTTGTGTGAGCTTGTGATCAGATAGTTGCTGCAAAAATACCTGCTTTGGTAGTTTGAAGTATTTGTACTTGCCAGCAGAGTGGACTGAAAGGACAGTCCTGCTTCCTCCATCCATTTATGCCTTTAGCTGTAGTACACAAGGAACCAGTTCAACTGAAATATCCTCTCTCTTCCCTCATAATTCCTGACAATTAGATGAGTGAGCCAATAGCGTGGTTAGTTGCATCATTATCAGTGCTGATTCAGAGGATGTGATGGAAGATCTAGCCATTGACAGAAGGTCAGAACAGTGCTGTTGCTCGTGATGGTAATGATCACCTGTCAAAATGAATAATGTAAGAACTTGAAAGATTGAGTTCAATTCAACCTTATTGTGACACTCTTGCAAATAAGGATGTTAAATATGACTGAGGGAAGTACTAGCAAGCAAGAATGGTAGAGATTTAATAAAATGTTCTGCAGAAATGCTGGACACAAGATGTCCAATCACAGCTTCTACCTGAGTGTTGAGTTTATTTAAGCCAGGAACTGATTCTTAACAAAACCACTGTTTTCTGTGTGTTAAAGAGCAATTACAAACTGTTATGTGTTTGAGTTGAATTGAGTCTGATGAAATTTCTCCTTGGAAGTGGAGATATTTGTTATCTAATTTCTTTACCTGTCTATTATAAGCACTGAACAAAAGAACTTACAGCTATAGCATTTGATTAAAAAGAAGAGTATACATTGATTCTTAAAGTAATATAAGTAATAATACCTTATGTAAAATCTGATTGAAATGTACTTCAATTTTAGGCAATTCGTGTCACTCATGAATCCAGTGCCCATGAAGGTCAGACTGAGGTATTCATTTTGTTTTCTTTGTTTAACACATTTGTCAATAGCTACTTTGAATGGAATATAATGGAGTTTAAAACAATCATATTAAGGACTTATTGAGAAATGAGATTATTGCTTAGTTTCCACTATTGCATCAGTCAACAGTTACGGCATAAAATGGCACTGTGGAGGAAACAAATGCACGTGAAGCTTTACAGGCCTTTGTAACAATAACACAGATTATCTCTTCAGTGTTTATTTCGCTGTAGAAGAGCCAGAAATTGTGCTTTAATCGAAGTTGAGATTAGGACATTGAGACATACAATTCGTAGTAACCATACAAATGAATCAACATTGCGTAAGTGTTTGAAATGTTTTCATTCAGTAAAAGAAATACTACAGAGCTCATGTTGTATGTGTATAGATATTACTTCAGATGAATTTTCACTAATAGAAACATTCTTAAATTTTTTATCCCAAAAGATTGAGTGCCATAAAATAAAACAACAAAGAAATGTAGATCTATGTCTTGGAATAAAGAGATTTACTGTGCTTCTTGATCAGTACTACACAATGCTCCTTTATGTATGATTAAACCCTTCCTATTTTACCTGTCAACTCTGTGTACGCTCCATGTTATGCTTTACTGTAGTTCATCAAATATGGGAACAGAGCTTCAAAAATTAAATCAGGTTTGGAAGAATCTGTGTAACACATTTATTTTTATTGAGTTGTAAGATTGATACTGAGTAAAAAACTGACCTTGGTGAAGTTTTGTGAAGGAAGGTGTGTAGTGTTTTCTGTTGTGTTTTTTTTGTTGTTGTTGTTGTTTGTTTGTTTGTTTTTTATTATTTTTTGGGAGAGAGGGAAGAGTTTATTGAAGTTCCCATGGCAGTTGGTTTGTTTTCAGGCTCGAAAGCAGAGCATCTCTGTCAGTTACTGAGAAGGTATATGCAGGTTTAACAGTCGGCATTTTCTGTCTCTGTTCATACTAAGGTGGTTCTTCATCTTTCTAGTTCAGATTTCAGTATTTGTTACACAGAAGAAAAATTGATCAGGTTGTTGATAGCACTGCTTTGTCTATGACTTCAGTGGCTCACCTACTTCATTTTTTCTATTTTTGAAGTACAATGGGTGAAGTTTTTTTTTTCATCTTATGGCTTGTGGTGTATATTCTACACATTGCAGAAGAAAGCAAAGCAGACCTTTCTGCTTCCTCCCCCCATCCCACTATCTGGAAACCTATACCGAATCGTTCAAAATGAAGAGTGGATGGAACTTAATTGTTCTAATCATTTCTAATATTGATATTTGTCTTCCTTTACGGTGGTATGAGTTGTTTTGATTATTCTAAAACTCTTCTGAACTTTCTCTAAATTAGTCAGGGATGGTTCTGCTTTTCAGTGAGATGTCTGTACAACTTCAGATTTCTCTTTGTCTTCCAAATGTGAGACTTGAAATATTCTGGTCTCTTTTCAAATAATCCTTTTCCAGGTATTCTCAGCAGTCTCAGTAGGAGAGGTATTATGGAGAATTATGGATTCTACACATTGCTAAAGACTGAATATTTCACTTAGACACTTGTGAAACTAAAAAAACTTATTTCATTGCTCTGGGATACTGTGACATTGATCCAGGGAATACTTTGTCTATGTACTCCTACAGAAACTATGGAATGATTGAAAAAGAGGATGGAAGGGCTATATAGTTTCGGAGTGACTTTATAAGGATTCAGGAAGCTTTTTAAGTAACAATAGAATCCCTTAATAAGGGACAGTTAATTTCTTTCAAGGTGCTGTTCTTCCTCTCCTGCAAAATGCAGTTACACCATTGGTCATTATCTTGTTGAGGGGAAAAAAAAAAAAAAAAAAAAAAAAAAAAAGCAAGAAATTTTCTGTAATCTTCAGATGTGAATGTTACAAAAATAGAATACTGGTGGGTTCTCCTGTGATGATATTTCTTCTGGGCTCTGAGGTTTTTAGGATTCCACCTTTAATGCTGCTAAATTAAGTCTCTAATTATTGATTTCTCCTTAGAATCTTGCTAAATAAGGAGTGAGCTTTTTTGTTTTTTGTTTTTTAAATCTCAATGACTTCTTTATTTTTACACTTTGCTATTGGATTTTCTGCTCTTGTTTCTGTTCCATGTACATGAGTATTTCAAACCTGTAAACAACACAGGTCTACCTAGACATAAAAGAAGAATAGTATGAGTAAATCAATGCTATCTTGCCCGTATCTACATATTTCATTTGTTCATTTTTTTCTTGTCTGCAGGTGGCAGGATTTATTTCTAGTTTAGAACAGCTGGTCATCAGAATTATAGTTTCTGTGTTTTAGAGAAAAGTTCTAGATGAGGGGGAAAAAAAAGAGGGAAAAGGAAAATAGTTATTTGACAGGGTAATAACTGTGTAATTTTGATATTAGTGAACTGCTGGGTTCAATTAGTGGTTGCTGCAAGAAAGAGAAGAGGTGCTCCTTCCACTTCTGGCATTTATCATTAATGTGTGATCTATTTAGGTGAAGTATTATGATGAATTGCTAAGCAAATTGATTGAAATTAACAGCTATAGAGTATGGAGTATGTAGTACGCTGTCTTGATGGATTCATTAATAGGCCTTCCACCTTTCATAGCTGAGATTCATTTGCCTAGTTTAAAAAGCAACAAAAAGGGCAACAATAAGCCTGTGTTCCTAGCCATTTTGTGTAATTTTTGGTAATACATTCAAGGCTCTTGTGGCTAATTAGAGACTGTGTTAGAAATAAGCATTTGAAGTAGGTTTTTTATATTAAAATGTGAGTTTTAAAGAATTTTACTTGGCTTTTGTTTTTTTCTTGTATAAACACTTTAATACTTTCTTCAACTCTTGTTATTCTTTCAAAGAGATGAAATCTTTAAGAACAGTTGAGCAGTTTTCATTTCAGTAATTAATTAATGGCTTGCAATGTAAAAAGATTATGGATTTGGATTTCTCTCTTAGGCCACATTTGGACCAGATTTTTGTGTTAACGCTGCTGGATTTTTTGGCTCCATGATTTTATTTCTTTACTGCACTAAAATAAATAGATAAAACAGTGATACAGATATTTATCTGTTTAAATAAGATAGGGCTGTTTAAAATGATTTGAGAGTAACAAGCAGGAAAATCTGTGAATAATTTTGCTGGAGAAGCATGGTGTTGATCCTATGGATTTTAAGGGTGATTTGATTGTTGTTGTGTTCCACTGCCGATCTGAAGGAGGGCAATTAATTTAAGACTGTTGCAACATTCTTTCTCTTGCCATTTATGATGCTGGAACTTACTCCTTCTCAAATGTCTGTTACTTCATATCTGAAGGTGCCTAAAAAGGGTCTATATGCTTTTGATAAAGCTGAACAGATCCCATGGCATATGATGGGGGTTTCCAGCATCAGCTTTGAGCAGAAGTTGTAGACTTTTTTTTCTTTTTAAATCTGTTTCTTTTGTTGATTCTTTTGCTAGGGATGACAGCCATGCTCTTGGGACCAAAAGGCAACAAAAATTCATTATCTGCCTTTTTTCTATTTTTTATAAACCTTTTGCCTCTCTCACTCCTGAAAGGCGGCTGTTGATGACACCAATACAGTTGTTAACTACTCAAGTAGTTAATGGGTAGTCTTTGTTTTTTTCCTAATTTTTTGGCTGGGCACATACTTCTGTTTTTAATGCCTCAAATGTCTGAAGATAATGAAAGACATTATAGAATCATAGAATGACCTGGGTTGAAAAGGGCCACAATGATTATCTATTTTCAACCCTCCTGCTATGTGCAGAGTTGCCAACCACCAGACCAGGCTGCCCAGAGCCACATCCAGCCTGGCCATGAGTGCCTCCAGGAATGGGGCAAGCACAACCTCCTTGGGCAACCTGTTCCACTGCATCACCACCTTCTGTGTGGAAAAACTTCCTCCTAATATCTAACCTAAACCTCCCCTGTCTCAGTTTAAGGCCATTCCCCCTTGTCTTATCACTATCCACCCTTGTAAACAGCCTTCCCCCTCCCTTGAAGTATTGGAAGATAACCTGCTACTTTGGAGAACTGCACAGTCTTTTAAGCTGGACCTTATATTGTCACATCTTGCTGAGCAGTAGATTCTTTTTTGTTCTTGCAGTACCCTCTTCTGCAGTTCAGAAACTGCTGAAACCTTGAGCTACCACAAATCTTAACACTTCTGATATCCTCTTATAACGATTATTCAAAAACAATAAAAAGAATGCAATCCGTGGATGCTAGAGAATCCATGTAAACCATCCAATTGGCAGTGATCATTAATGAAGAAGTTGCATATTTCCCCTTATAATGTAAGGGGAAAAGAAACGATATACACAGATCCAGATCATTTGCTATGGTAACTTTGAAAAGCTGTTCTAGCTAGAAATTATCTATAGTGATACTTGAAATAAATTACCTTCTTAATATATGGCTGTAATAATGTGGGTAAAAGAACAAAAAGTTCTACTCATGTGTTGCTGACATCCATGTCAACTACTTCACAATCAACTGCAGTTTGGTTCTGTAGTGCAGAAAAAGGCAAACTATAGCATATGAAATATATTTTAAAATTCTAATTGGCCCTTGGCCAATGAATAAAATTTAGAGAGTGGTCTGTATTTAGCAGGTGCTTTTCTGAATGCTTTAACATGCTTAAGTCTTGTTCAAATCCTGTATAGGTAATAGTATATGAAGTTTTGGCCAGCTGCGTGTCTGTGACAATTTGAAATTGTCCTGGATTATCAGGTTACCTTCGGAAAACAAAAACAAAATGCAACTAGCTGTCTTCTGTCAGCTTCATGAAACAGCTTGTTCTATGGTCTTGTAGGAGCTAATGGCATCAGAGATGTGCCAGAAGCAAACTCATGGAGCTTAACAAACTAGACTTGCATCAGCTTTTGCTGACATAGGCAGCAAATACTCAAATAGTTGTAGTGTTACATAATTGATGACCTGTTTGTGCAAAATCAAGGTGTTGCTGAATGCTTACATATGGCTTTCCTTATCACTTT